TTTCTTTCTTTCTTTCTTTCTTTCTAGAGAGCACACGAACAAGGGAGAGGGGCAGAAAGAGAGAGAGAGAGAAGGAGAGAATCTTAGGCTCTATGCTCACTGCAGAGCAGTGATCCCAGTAGACCCTGGGATCATGACCTGAGTCAAAATCAAGAGTCAGACACTCAACTGACTGAGCCATCCAGGCACCCCTAAAGATAGCATATTTCACTCTAAAGCCCACTTATATATTATCTATTCAACAAATATTTATTTTACATCTATTATATGTCATGTGCTATTCCAGGCTCTGGGCACATAGCAGCGAACAGATGAAGTCCCTGTCCTCATGGTGCCTACTTTCTAGTGAACTCGTATAATACACATATCTCTTGATGAAGACATGTTCTTTCTCTTTTTCTCTAAATGTCTTTGTTTTTATCTAAAAGTATTTAGTATTTGAATGGTCACAAAAGAGCAGTGATCGTTAGGCCATGTTTGTTGTCTCTCTGTTCCTGTCAGATGCAGACCTGCGTCCATTGCTGCTCTCTGAACATATGAGAAAAAAATTGAGTGATTTAGGTAGAAATAAGAACAACTTTTTCTATAAGTTGCAGATTTTTCTTATAATTAAAGCAGACTTAACATGGCTTGTCAGTGCTGGTTTTTCACACACCATTATCTATCTTTTGCCTTTCCATGTCACCATTAACTTAGGGATGAGGATCTAATGTCTAAAATAGGCTCAGATGTTTCCGATTCTGTGTCTCCCTCTCTCTCTGCCCCTCCCCCATTCATGCTCTGTCTCTCTCTGTCCTAAAAATAAATAAACGTAGGAAAAAAAATTAAAAAAAAAAAATAAATAAAATAAAATAAAATAAAATAGGCTCAGCAAGCATACATTATAAAAGTGTAAAAATAATAAAAAGCTTATGAGATTAAATCTAGCAATAATTTTTTAAACTTGAGTAGAAAAATTTAGTATCTGGTTTCTTTTTTTTGACTAAATGAACAACGCATACTCACTATAAGATGAAAACAATGTAGAAATGCATCAAGCAAAAAGTGCTGCGCATGTGGCATTGCAATATTTATACACCTATGTAATTGCTCTTTTCTCTTTTTATGATTTATGTATGGTTCTAGAACCCTGGTTAGTCTCATCAGATTGCTTGACAGTTCTTACTTTATAATACTAACGGCTTCTAGAATAACAACTGATAAAGTCAAAACTAATTTTTAGAAAGAATATCCAATGCTGAATAGGAATTCTGCTTAAAAGCATGGTTCTTAAAACATGCATTTTTATTTAATGTCAGTGCAATCCTGAGGAAAACGAAGTAAGGCACTTACCATTCATTTCAGAGAATCAAAGAACGTCTGTATCAGAACCAAATAGATCATCCAGGGCAGCGACCAGGGGAGAAGAGTGGAAACCACCCCCCAGGTGAATTCTGATATACACTGAACACACACAGACCACCGTGAGAATTCATCATTTTGCAGACGAGAAAACTGAGGTCTGAGCCAGTAAAGAAACCTTTCACGTCACACATACAGAGAATGGTAGAGGTCAGACCAGAACAGAACAACCGTGTTGTGACTCCCAGTCTACTCCTTGTTCCACTACACTAAGCCACATTAGAAGATACCTTTTGCACAACAGTGTAGAACAACTCAACTTCAATTTGTTCTCCGAAGATTAAGTTTTCCAAACAAATCTATATTATATCAAAACCTCTTAGTCCAACAAAAGAACCTCAAAGTTTTACGTTATTAGTGATAGATTTCTGGTTGTTGTTGTGGTTGCATGTTTTCTTCTGGAAAGTGGAGGCGGAAGTTTAACCAAGACCTAAGTTAAAGTATCATTAGTATTGACAAACTAATCAGCCTGTAGGTTTTAAAGTTCAGAGTGAGCGAAATAGCAGTTAAATGAACCACACCTCCCACCCCACCACCCCCACCTCCAGCCACACACACACTATTGGTGATCGTGGTGTTCTTTTTATCTCTGTGAAGCTAAGTGGCTCTTTACTAAAATGTTTGGGGAGAGAGATCACTGAGTGTGCTTTGCCCTCAGTAGGGAGAGAACGTGTCATTTCAAGTCCTTTCTGTCTAGCTGAATCGTGGAACTGCCACAGTGGTCTCCAAAAAACATGTCTCCAGCCCTCTAGGGCCAGGGAAAAGGTCACCAAAGACCAGAGCTCAAGAGCTGGGGGAAATAGGTGAAAGGGAGAATAAACATCTACAGCATAATTGCAGTCTTTTCGAACATTCGTCTAGGTTGAAAACTTTTATTCCAAGGCAACCTTTCCCCTGCATTGAGCTCTGTTGAACACAGCTGGCATTTTAATGAGACTAAATCTGGTGTTTCTGCCATTAGCGGAGATGAACATCAAAGCATTAAACTCTACCTTCCTTTGTTTTACAAGAACTTAGGGTTCAGGATACCTTCACTAAATATGTGTCCAACTCTAAAGCTATGAGGAATACTTTTGTTCTGATAGACCTTCGGCATAGTATTGATCAAAGATAATAACACAAATTACAAAGGATGTATTCTATTATCAGCATTAAAAAAATACAGCACCCTCAAGTATTAGTACCTGACTTAAAAAATTACAACTGACATTGATTGACTCCTAATCTTTGCCATGCATTGTCAACAATTGCCATGGTTAATGCATTGCATAAATAATCTTATTTAATCCCCACAACTGTATTATGTGGGTGCAGTTTTACCTTTGAGGAAACTGAGGCTTAAAGAAGTGAATAAGCTGTCCTAAAAGCCTGTGGTCAGTAAATGACAGAGCTGGAATTCAAACCCGAATTTGTATGACAAAGAGTCTATGCTTTTGATGTTCTGCTTTCTCCAATTTGATTCACATCCCAACACAAAGGCCTATAGGACACATCCTAACATAATTTAACATTTGTTTGACAAATTTGTAATTTTATTATAGGCACAGTTCAGGCACAAATAACGAAATCTTCTTTGTGTCAAATTCTGGATCATTCCACACTGGAGTTCCCCTAATGATATCACAGAAGAGCCTCTGATGACCCCAAAGAAGAATCACACAGTGGAAGTTTCCACACAGGCTAACTCACTCCTTGCAGTTGAGTGGAGACAGATTGGTAGCAACTAGACTAAATGACTCAATGGCTTTTTTCTTTAGGGATCTGAATTTCTTCCCCCCAGCATCAAACACATATTCTCATGGCAAAGGCTTAACAACTTAAATGGAAATAATGAATATATATTTTTCTTTTAAAGAACACATCCTGAGATCCTTTATCTCCGGGGCCACAGTGAAGACGCATGCTAGAAGTGGGGCTGTTTTTTGCACCAATGTCACCATGCCCACCTTTTGCCTCACTTGTCTTGAGTCCATGTGACTCTACTGTCACTTTTTTTGTCACACCATGTTCCATCTGATGCTTTTATTCGGTAACCAAAACTACAGAGCTTTCTATGATGTTGTTTTAATTGAGCACAAAATTAAATACGTTATCAAGAAAAAATGAAACTGAAAGAAGCAAGTCAAGATCGCAACCAAAAGTTTTCCACAGGGGTCACAGTGGCTGACAAAAAAGATGCAAAATGCCCCAGTGTGTCAGTCCTGCCTACTTTTTGACCTGAAGATCTATGAAACGGGTGGCTAGGGTAGGTGGTAGGGGCCTGGAAAGCATGTTCAAGTGCTCTTAGAACCATTTTGCATCCTCTAGCAAGCAGACGCTGATCATAGCTCTCTTAAATTGCTCGCTTTATAGTGCTCTTAAAGAAACCCTTTTAAAAAAAGAAGAAAAAAGAAGTCTGACTAATGGAACAAAACCTGCACAACAGCCTGGTTGTATCCTCTATTCTCCCTCTTGTTAAGATGATGGCTCAGTTTTGACTAAAGATGAATTACTTGATTATGGTTAATCTTTTTAACCATTTAATTTAAATTTAAATTTTAAAATTTTAAAAAACTCTGCATGATTTTGTCCTTCACCCATTCAACACCTCTCTGAATTAAATGATTAATATGAGTAAATACACGCTGTCTTTCCAATTGACCTTGCTGGCCTCTTTTGCCAGTGTGCTCTTGGCTCCCTCATGGCTTGCCATCATGAGTTTTTGGTAATGTTATCCTTTCTGACAAATTTAATTGAGGCAATTTAGACTTTCAAAAACTAGTTGTCTGCATAAGCTTGACCAGTTTGCTATGGAAAACCAGGTGCTGGGTGAATATTTTTCAACTGCGTCTGTAGCTTAGTTTTTCACTTGTACTGTAAAGAGGAGATCAATCTTAGTCTTCCTATTCTAGTCACATGTGGTTGTCCAAAACTAAAGCTCTGTGACCCCAAATCTTTGCCGCCTTTTGTGTGGCAGATGACATCTTCCATCAACAGTGGATAATAAAATTTACATTCAGTCCCCATGTGGAACCTGAACACGTAAGCACTCCCCCACACAGTACAATTCAAAGTGACATTCTCTTCTATTTTCCTTCGGCCTCAGTGATGCAGAATAACAGTTATACCTTAACATTCCTTTGGCGGGGGCGGGGGAGGGGTGGTCTTGAATATAAAAAAAAAGAACAAGAGAAGGCTACCCTCAGTCTAGACAATGAGTGACAAAAGTCCCAGAGCAAACCATAGTTGTTAACAGACACCCTCCTAAGGTTCCCAGGATACAGCACTGAGAAGGAGTGAATTCTCCAGTGAGACACATCACACACTCCAGGGCTCCTAGTTAACCCGGCCATGTTATCTGTGCCAAAAATCAGTTTTAACACCCTGTCCTCCTCAGCCCCAGTGCAATTTTATTTCCCGTTCTGCCAGCCTCAGCTCTGCAAAGCATCAGTATTCTCTTAAGAAAAAAAAGTAAAAGCTTAAATTCTGGGTCATCCATCAGTCATACCATTTGATTAAGGATTCTACCCAGCAAGGTATTTTCCATTGAAGGTGCCCACGTCAGTATCCATCCCGGGGACATTGAAATGGAAGTAGAAATGATTGCATGGGTAACTTACCAGCTCCTGAGTCTGAATGGCTGCAGCAACCCCAGTGCTTTACCTGATCCCTTGCTCTCTGTCTCTCTCCCTCTCTCTCTCCCTCTTTCTCTTGTGTACAGATTGCAGGGAACTTAAAGAACTCGCAGGGACAATGTTTCAAATGACTTAAGAAAGAACAGGAACAATACTTCGTTCTCTTTTTCTCAGATGAGTACCTTCGGGAAGAAGGAAGGAAGGGAGGGGAGAGGGAGGAAGTCAACAACCCTTTGCTTTCCTGAAAAAAAATAAGGAAACAGAAGATAGACATCTCATTTTCTCTTAAACAAAATGTTGGAAGGGGCAAAAAAAAAAAAAAAATCTTTGAAAAAAGGAATTCCTCAAATATGCTCTCTGCCCTAAGAGCTTTAAAGAGATGAAAAGCCTTACTGGCCTGTCCTGTCCAAACAAATGGTGTTCCAGAAAGGCAGGCTCTCCTGAGCTTGCAGCCTCTGGTATCTTGTTTGCAGAACTGACACGGCCAAAAGGGAACAAATCATGTCATGTTGCCTCTGAGCAAGGGAACGTTTGGTCTGTTGTGCTAACTGAGGCAATCCTCCAGCCTGTGAGGCTGGGCAGGGTGACAGTCAGCCAGGATGTTTGGCTCTTCTTGGGCTCTTTGAAACACCAGTGTTGCTGCAATTTTTGAGCATGATTCTAGAGCGTTAGAGTTCTTCCAGGAACAAACAGCCGATTTATGCACTGGTCACCGAACTTTATGCAGTGGGCCAAGTCAAAGCTTCCATCTTTGCTGATGTTTTCAAAAAGAAAAAAAAAAAAAAAAAAAAGCAACTTGCCACACTGCTGTTGGACATAACTATCTCGTGTGGGATTTAGTCATCTCTGGAAAAACTGAAAGGCAATTTCTGTTTTCAAAATACTGTGAAGCAGCCTAGTCTTAGAGAAGTCAGCCACAGTTTTTGAAAAGCGACAGGGAGGCTGACTAGAAGGAGAGCAAACATGGAATGTTCTTTAACAAGTTTTAACGGTGCTTGGCAGTCCAACGGGTGGCATGAGCTCTGTTTAGAGTAGTTGCGCTCTGATTGTGCCGTGTATCTTGTGCCCTCCATTCATCTGGTTAAGACCATTTTCACCACAAACAGGAACCAGCAGTTATGTGGACCTTTGTGGCAGCAGAAGAAAAACCAACTTTAAGGTACTTCCTTCTTTCACTCAATTATGAAAAAACAAGTGGGGTGGAGAGTCATACCTGATCCCAAGGAGCAATTAAAGTGAATTCAGGGAAAGAGAGATTCTGATTCAGTCTGTTTGAAAGGCATTTATTCGGTTCTGTGGTCAATAAGGTTACTCTTTTATCCCCACAGTTTTCTTCCCCCGTCTATCATCTCTCTGTATATTTATCTTTGTATCTATCTATCTATGTTTCTATCTTTCTGTCTGTCTGTATCTCTCTATCTGTCTGAATATGTGTGTGTATATCACAGAGGACATAGAAAGACTGTTACTCATTAGGTTGGTAAGAGCCGGAATGGAGTTGTTCCTTGCGTTCCCCGTGGCACCACTTCTGGCACAACTTAAGGATTTCTGGCACGGGTTCCCCCAGCCCCACGTACAGATGAGAAGACTCACGCCCAGAGAGGCGTCCGTTGTACCACTCGCCCAAGGCCACACAGATCAGTGGCAAAAGCCAACAGGCTCATCTGTCTCCTGAGTCAGCTCTAGTGCCCTTTGCCCCCTGCTGGCCTTCCTCTGTACCCTGCCTTTGTAGAAATGGGAAGGAAGCTCACAATGAAAATCTAGGAGAACAAAAGAAGAGCTCGAGGGAATGGAGTAGCTCTCCTGGGTGCAAACCTATGAGTGATCGTGAGGCCGAGGGAGCCCTCTGCTGAGATGGTCGGTAGAACGTGGAAGGAGGTGGGAGTGAGGTGAGGGTGAGTGAGGAGAAGTAGGGAGAGGCTGGGCTGGGTGTCTGTGGCATCAGTCAGCAGAGGGAGTGAGGGGCCGTGAAGGAACAAGGACGCTCAGGTTACAGAATTCTTGCAGGAAGGAGCAAGTGTCTGATCACCCGAAGACTGGAATCGAAGAGTCGTGAGAGCTACAGGCACCCTTTGCGTATTGTTGTTCCTCCTGCAGCCTCAGGCGAGGCCAGGGCTGAGCCCCAGGAGCCCAGTCTGTCCAGAGGTGACGTCGCCTGACCCCGACTGGATGCCGCCCCGTCACATCAAAGCCGCGCAGCGGTGTGGATGGCACGGGCCCCCGTCCAGTCCGGCCTGTCTTTGGGCAGGTCAGCCGGCTTGGAGCAAACAACAGGCCTCAACGTGACAGTTCCCACATTCTGTGCACTGGAAAGGGAAATCCTCTGGACTCTGACTGGGCTCCTGGGGCTCAGCCCTGGCCTCGCCTGAGGCTGCAGGA